ATATAAGTGTTAGGAGATTAATGATATGGATAGACCTTAGATGAAATAGTAAGGATACCTTTCGATCTCCAGCCTCGAATCTTTTTCTCACATCACTATGAATTTTACCTAAATTTCGAATTATCTTATTAAATAAAACTTAAAGTAGTGTTCCGATCCTAAATCCGACCACCTGGATTGATCCTTAAACCCATATCCAAATAAGAGATCTTTCTACCTGGATTGATCCTTAAACCCATATCCAAATCAGAGATCTTTACTCGGATTGGTTAAAGTTTAATTAACGAACCTAAGGATGTGTGTGCTCAAAGCTAACTTTATATATAATCTGACATAAAATCCGGATGGCCCGTCAGAAATAGGATCGGAACACTAATCTAAAGTAACAAATACGATCCACAACTATGGTAAAACATACCTGAATCACTAGGATTCCCTTCGTAAGCAATCCACAAGCGTTCGGGTATTAACTCACTTGGAACTCTTATATATTTTCCGATTCCATCGTTTTTCTCCATAACCCCTCTTTCAAAATCCATATACATAACTCCTCCAAAGCTTTGTATGACTCTATCTTGTAGCCCTGCGTTAATACCTAGTTCAATAAGCTCTACATCAAGTATTAACTTTGCTTGCATTTCTAACGAAATGTCACTATTCCCTATCCTATAAAATTTCATTAATGTTTTCCATAACGCAGTGATTATAGCGGAAGAACCAGCCAATCCAACTTGTCGTGGTATGTTTGTTTCATAACATAACATAAACCCTTGTTTATGAAGAACAATATTATTTGTTTTGCAATATATAAAGAATACTTTGCAAGTTGCTTGAAATAATCTATCAGCATTAGTATAACCTTCAAATAATGATAATATTGATAAAGATTCAAGAGTCAAGAATGAGCATGTTGTGTTTATAATAGAATGAAGAAATTCAATTTTGGAATATTCTTGTGTATGAGAGAACTTATTGGGGATTAGTGTAATTTCCGCAAAAAAATTGGAAATCAATAGTGATATTGTTTTTCCATAGAAACCATCTGATGGGTTACCCATTAAACCTATACGAGCATATGAACGTGTTGTTATTGTTGTTAATTGATGATAGGATGGAAGATTTTTTTGGGTGTCTATAGAATTGTCGAATAATGATTTAAAGAAAGACAAATATTCTCTCAGAGTTAGTGACGGATCTTTCCATTTGAAAATAGATCTATATAAAGCCATAATCATTTTTATGTCCTGATTTTTGTTCATAGTGAACTGAATAAACTTTTCGATGCAATCAGAAGAATCATTGGTGTTTATCATTCTTTTATTTTTTAATGCATCTGCATATTCCTCAATTAAATACAATGCATTCGAATGAAACACGATTGCGATCAAGTTCGTTGTATTGATGATCCCATCTTGGTAGAATTCTCTGGTTGTATCAAATAGATTTGTTGAAGTTATATTGTTTATATTCTGTTCAGATAATTCATTATCATAAAAAATAAATTTAATAAATTCATTATCAAATAATAGTTGATTTATAGATGAGTCGTTAAAAGAATCGAATAATAATTCGGCTTGCACAACAATAATAGAGTTTACAAAACCCTTGACACGTTTAACAAGCTCAATATCCTCAAATATGCCTTGACTTTATTACAAATAATTGGTATTTAACGTTTTTAAAATTGTCAGTATTATCATCATTAAAAAAAGAACAAATAAAATTTTTAAATACAACTTACCAATTCTCAAGTAATGTATATCCATTATTAATAATATTAGATCTCGGAATACTATTCGAACTTGCCCATTTCAAATAACTTGAATAACTTTTTCAAATAATCCCATCAGCATAATTTTAATTCAATATATCCAGTGTTGGCATTTTTTGTTTTTTTTTGATTGCAATAGTCAATGGCCAAACTTTGACTAAAAGTTTCTAATTTATATAATATCTGATATTAGCCAATCGAATTATTAACTAATTTGCTATATAAATTTTTTGGCCATTTAGGCACGGCGGAGGACCCAAGCATCTTATAGATAGGTTACAGACCTCGAACTTTGAAAAAAATCAAAAAAAAATCATTTTTATATAGTAAAGTCTCAAAAACGGCTCAAAATAAGTAAACTCAAGCCAAATTTCAGGGTCTGCTATGCATTCTAAGTTCGTTACGTATCTATGTAATGTTCTGGGTCCTCACTGCGTTCATTGGCCATGGCCATTTGCCAAATACCAACACTGAACATGTCTTAATGTCTCCTTATTAAAACAAATAGTACTTACTTATGAGCATTGGTCACGATAAAAACATCACCTTCAATTTGACGCCTCAAACCATCATACCACCAATTCAAAGCAGGTTTTCCAGAGATTGGTAGTAACGGTTTCGGAGTACTTCGTAAGAAAATTATTTCGGGATCATCATATTTCTGCTATTCTTCGATTAAATAAAACGATTAAATTTAAAAATATAAATTCTTTTAATTCAATGATTAAAAAAAAAATAAAAATAAAAATAAAGAAAAAAATAAAATAAATAAATAACAAATGAATACCTTGATCTCATGTTCAAGCTTTGTAGGTTGAGAAGTTGCAAGGATTACTAAATCGTATAAGTTTGACATTTATATCGGTTACAAAAAATGATAACTGAATCACTTTATATATATTGTAGATTCTTTTCGTGTTACAGTACATGTGATTTTACATGTAAAGCTATTTGTAAGTATAGCCCGACAATATCTTTTATCAAACTTATACTGTTTATATTTTTGAGGCTCGGTAAAAACTTAAAGTATAAACTGATAAACTTTATATCATGTGATAAAACTAAGAAATAATATTATCGTGCATAATACAGTTATATTTAATTAATAAGTTACATTGAGCATATATTTAATTAATACAGTTGATATTTATTGTATAGTTTTTTAAAACTAATTATTATCAGTTTCAATCCCTAAGACCTCTCAACAATGAAAGCCAATACATTCGAAATTTGGCCATAGATTCAATACGCTTGATTGTAAGTCGATTTCTTCGATATCCATAAAACCATTTTAAAATGAAGAAATTATGCTCACATGCTGTTTCAGATAGCACTATTGAAAACATTTTAACAGCCAAATCTTCTTATTCTAACAATATTTTCAAAAATACTTTCAAGAATTTTTTTTGTCTCTTGTTACTTCTGAATCAGAATCTTACAACCTATATAAACCAAATTCTGAAAATAAAAAATTCTTTCAAAATTTATTAGATAATATATCTTTAGAAGAATTACAAAACACTATTAAATAACTCCTAAACCAAAAAGTTGCAGATCTTTCAGAACTAAATTATAAACATATAAAAAACTTAAACTCCAAAAGTCTCAACATACTCTATCTTTTTTTGTCTAAATGTTTCTAATTTCAACTATACTAATGGAATAAAAAACTTCAAATATATTTCTTATTCCTAAAAAATCTAAATGAAACTACACTGTTAACTAAATCTGATCAATTTCTCTTATAGAATCTTTAAAAAAATACTTAATAAAAATATTTACTAATCACAACTAAATTTTATTAAAATTTAACTTAGAAATTTAAATTTTGTAGCTATCAAAAACTTTTCTACTTATATACCTATTCAAATTCTATACAACACAATAGAACACTACAAAAATACAAAACAAGAAGTATGGATTCTATTTCAGAATATGTCTAAAACTTTTAACAAGATCACTTTAAACTGTCTAATTGATATATATAAATGAATTAGTATCTTACAAATGCTTTAAATCTAATATATAATCTTTACTCAAACTGAAAAGTTAGAATTATCACTACATATAGTCTTACAAAATGAATTAACTTTTATTCAGGCATAGAACAAGAAGAAACATACTCATTTCTTCTTTGAAAAATTTATTATAATCTAATACTAACTTTTATTAACAACAAATATCAAAATAGCTTTCTCTAAATTAAATCACTTTCTTTAATTAACTAAAATTTTAATTATAACTTATAACCTCTTATAATTCTTCTCTTACTTTTATAAATAATATAGTATAGTATTGTAAAAATCTTACAGACTTCTAAAATCTCTTAAATGATATCTCAAAACTTTATCAACTAAATAATATTCAAGTTAACCTAACAAAATTAAATTTATTATATATAAACCCTAACAAAACCAAACTAAATCCAATATCGTAATCTTTTTTAACAATTAACAAATTTATCTTCACAAATCTAAAGAAATTATTAGATATCTTAGCATATACTATGATAGTCAAAAATTAATAAAACTAACTCTTGAATTAATTACAAATAAAATCTAACAATTTTGTAAACTAATTAAATTTAAAAAACTTCTGTCCAAGGTCTAGCGATCTTAGTGTAGTGGTTAGGTTGCCAGACCACCATGCAAGAGGTCTGGGGTTCAAATCCCACTGTCGACGAATT